GAAACAGGGTGGTGAAGAAGTTATGATTAGTAAACCAAGGGCTATTGTTACTTATAATTCTTTTATGGGGGGGTGTTGATTTATCTGATCAACGTGTTGCTTCATATAGACGTCATATAAAATATTTGACTTGGTATATGCTTTTTTTTTTTTTATTTGTTAAGACTCTCTGCTGTTCAAGCCTTTATTGTACATAAAAAACTTTTCAAAATTGTCACAATATGACTTTTTCTTTAAACAATTGGCTGATGGGTTGATAGGTGGCAGAACATTTACTAAGAAAAGAGGGCGTCCATCTGCTGTCTTACCACATGAAATAAGGTTTGATAGAACATTAGAACATGCTCCAATTAAGTATGAGAATCAGGGTAGGTGTTTTGTCCATTCAAACAGAGTTGAAACCAGATATGGTTGTGGTGTGTGTGAAAAGAGAATGTGCCCATATCCTTGTTTTCATAGGTACCATTACACCGTGAATTATCCCTACATGGACCCAAATAAAGAAAATGCAGCACCAGCTAAAAAACACAAAAAAGTCAAATTGTTAGCTTAATGGTCATAAAACTGATGTTGAATTTAAGGTTTGCTTCAAGCAAAAATGGGATTTTTTTAGCATTAAATAGCCAGTTTTCTTTTGGTTGCCTTGTTTACATATTTGTTTAAATTCATGGCTGCTTATTTACACCTTGATATACTGTAAAATATAGATTGGTATTGTCTTTGTTAATTTTAAATTTATATTGTTCCTGTGCAATTTACAAAAATCCAAATATGATCAAAATTTGTACACACTTGTTTTTGTGATAACATATTTTTGCAGTGAATATGTATTTTTATTGTTATTGTTGATGATAGTTAATTTTATCAATTGTTAATAAAATGTTGTTGTGATTGAAAGTTTATATATGGTATATAAATAAAACAATTAATGAGGTTTATACTGCAGTTATTGTTCACAAAAGACTTTATGGATGTTGCTATGGTTACCATGAAAGTACAGAAGTTTTGAGACAAAAAATATTTTAACATAACATCCACAATTTATTCTTCTTCAAGAAAATATATACTTTTTGTAGGTTCTTATCACAAGGAATGTCATAAAGATCAAATATAAGAACATAGTCACAAATAACGTCACATAGCATAAATAATTTGATTCCATGGGCATTATGACGTCACGTTGATAATAGTCTGAAAGGGTTAAACCCAGTTTTTTTCTGGACTTGTTAATATTGTTATCTGATTTTGTTATAAGCTTTAAAATTGTTACTTTTTGGAGAATTTATTAGTCATGATTCTCTTTTGATATAATATTTTCTGTTATATCTTTGTTAATAATAAATTATTTTTGTGATACATCATACATATATGCCTTTTACAAATATACATAATTCATGTTATCTGATCATTGTTTCCTTTTTGCATACCCTTCCACAACACACAATAAGTGATGAGCCACTGATAAAATTATCACTAAAAGTTCCTACACTCATTTATCTTTATTTGTATACCAAATATACTTACCTGGACCTCTAGCAGCTAAGATATAGCAATTTCACATTATGGTGTAGTAGAAGAAAAGTTATAAATTGACTTGACGTCATATCTATCCTGTGACGTTATGATCACTTTCCCACTATGTATGTGTTCCTATTTCCATTAAATGCCTCATATCCAGATAAAAATGGATTCCTCCTAAATTTATCTTCAATTTGATACCAAATTCAAACCCATTGAAGCTATACATAGAGAGTAAGAGCTAAATTAGATGATGGCATTTGGTGTAATTTGAACGTTATTTCTAAATTAACGTCTTAGCATGCATAGTAAAAATTGTTTGCCGGTCATAAAATTATCACTAAAGGGTTATACGCTCATTTATCTTTATTTATATACCAAATATATTTACCTGCGACCTTTATAAGCAAAGTAAAATTGATTTGACGTCATGTTACCATAGCCATTATTAATTCCGTACAGAAAGTTGACGTCACGTTATATTATTACGCATGGAAAGGGTTAAAGAACAATGATTTAAAAAAAATTAGTGTCTATGGTCTAGTCTACTTAAAATTTTAGTTTTCACCACGTGGTGTTTTTGGTTTGAGTCTTTCCATTCCATAAGCTTACTCCAGAACAGCCTAATGTTTTGTTTAGGCCTATGAGCCATAAAGAATTTGCGGATGTAAGAGACAGTTGTCTCCCTTTCCATCATGGTGTCAAGTAACAAACGAAAATTCAGTTTGGATGAAAATAAGACTAGAAATAAATTAGTAGACTCTGGATCGTCGTCAGAAGAGGAGGGTGACTCAAGTGAAGGCAGCGATGATGCATCGAAGTGATGAAGAAATAGTATCAACGTTGCTAGTGTGAATTACATAGTTGTTGACAGCTCTAATGACGAAATCAAAAGTTGGCCTAATAATCCGGTTGAATGGAAATTGGAGAAAGTCGACAATAAGCCTGTATGGTTGTGAGCTAGATAACCTGAATGACGACAGCTCTGCTCTGGAAATTTTCAATGAGTTTATGTGTGAAGTGCTTTAGCAGAAAATTATGTTTTTGCACATGCAACATTCACACCAGAAAACGATTTCGATTGGTAGCCTATAGTATGTAAGCCAAAAATTGAGATGGATTGGAGATTAAAACACCTTATTCCCTAGTCTATATTATACCTCATGAGTCATGACGGATATACTTATATACCATGCAAACCAGTTCAACTAT